TCCATGTCAAAATTTCTTAACTTTTTGCCAGTGTTAGAGTAGGATTTATAATTGTTGATTGACATAATTTTGGTCTCAATAAACTTACGTGAAATTTCCCGTCTGTGTCAATTGTTGAATCCTCTTAGCCTTTTGGATATAGTGGCTGACAACCGTTTTCATAATTAATGACAGTCATAGAAAGTACTCTCCAAGTCAAGCAATGTTTCTTGCCTCGTTGCTTGATATAGTTTCAATGGTCAAAGGCAGATGGTGGCAGCGTATTTAATCCTTGTGTTAGCATTTCCTTATTGGCAGTGTACCTTTGGTTCCGGTGTAACCATCATATGTCAGCTCACATTACCGTGTTTCATAACAGTGTTATCAAGTGCAACCGATGAGGAGGTGTTACTCAGGAAAAGCAGTGTTCCATTATAGTGGTGTTCCATTAGGGTGGTGCACTTTAGAGTGGTGTTACAGCTTTCCCACAAACTGTACTTGACACGGTGGGGGGGGGGGAGGGTACTCACAGGAGGGCGCACTGTATGTCTGACAGACACACGCGCACACACCTGATGGCACTGACGGTGAGTAAGGTGGTGACGTCACGTAGTACCGTGAGGCAGGGCGGCTCGAGGTACTGTGGTACTAGCTACACACTCTGGACAGTGGCGGCTGGCGGCTTCAGGTTATATGATACGATGAGGTACACTGTGGTAAAGTCACACACAGATTACTTAGGCGGCGGCACTGCCTTAGTTCACTCTAGGTCACTCACAACGATCTTTGTCACCAGGGGTTACCTGATACCAGTCTGTTTCGTTCTGGTGATTTTTTCACTAGGCTTCTAAACAATATATTCACAGTCGCAATTCCGGGCGAGCGTTGGTATATGGAAAAGACGCTGAGTTTAACTTGACGGTGAGGAATAGACGGTGTTCTTCTGTCTATTGGCCGATAGACAGAACAAGGACACGTCCTCTATGCAAGGGCTCCCTCACGTTAATGCTCTTGCCTGGGGCTCAGGGCTCCTCATGGGACATAACACAAGGGATTACAATTTGACCAATAGCATTGCAGCAACAGAGCAGGAACCAATCATATTGATCGTTCCCTGATCAGTAGCAGAGGTGACGTCATGAACACGTCACGACCACGTCACAGTTCTTATTCTCCATCCTGCCAGTTGAAGTTGACCCCAGAGGTCAGTCGCCTCGCTGGCGTCTCCTCTACTCTCTCACGCTGGCCCCAGCCAATGTACTCACTGACCCTTTGTAGCAAGTATGCTTAACTTTCCTGTATGTACTTCCTGCCTGGACATACGGCGGCCTCCGTAATATAAACATATTCCTGGTTATGTGGGCATCCTGGGGACACCCAACATGACAGATTACTATCCAGGGTTAACAGAGATAGGGCTTATGCACGAGGATCAGAGATAGGGCTTATGCACGAGGATCAGAGATAGGGCTTATGCACGAGGATCAGAGATAGGGCTTGTGCACGAGGATCAGAGATAGGGCTTGTGCACGAGGATCAGAGATAGGGCTTATGCACGAAGATCAGAGATAGGGCTTGTGCACGAGGATCAGAGATAGGGCTTGTGCACGAGGATCAGAGATAGGGCTTGTGCACGAGGATCAGAGATAGGGCTTGTGCACGAGGATCAGAGATAGGGCTTATGCACGAGGATCAGAGATAGGGCTTGTGCACGAGGATCAGAGATAGGGCTTGTGCACGAGGATCAGAGATAGGGCTTGTGCACGAGGATCAGAGATAGGGCTTGTGCACGAGGATCAGAGATAGGGCTTGTGCACGAGGATCAGAGATAGGGCTTATGCACGAGGATCAGAGATAGGGCTTGTGCACGAGGATCAGAGATAGGGCTTGTGCACGAGGATCAGAGATAGGGCTTATGCACGAGGATCAGAGATAGGGCTTGTGCACGAGGATCAGAGATAGGGCTTGTACTCGAGGATCAGAGATAGGGCTTATGCACGAGGATCAGAGATAGGGCTTGTGCACGAGGATCAGAGATAGGGCTTGTGCACGATGATCAGAGATAGGGCTTGTGCACGAGGATCAGAGATAGGGCTTGTGCACGAGGATCAGAGATAGGGCTTGTACTCGAGGATCAGAGATAGGGCTTATGCACGAGGATCAGAGATAGGGCTTATGCACGAGGATCAGAGATAGGGCTTATGCACGAGGATCAGAGATAGGGCTTATGCACGAGGA